GGGAGTGTTCCTGTTCCCAGCTTGTTCATAGACTTGTAATATGACCATAAATAAATGATTTAACCACTTGTTGCTTCATTTTTATATTTTTTTCCCCCAGTCTGTAAAATGTGGCTGGTACAGAGAGAGCCTGGAGATTTTTATGTCAGAATTGCTGTATGTGCTCAGGCAACAGATCCCTCTAGCCCAGTATTCTGCCTCAAACGGGTATCTTTGGAGTAATAAAAGAACACCAAAAATACACAGTAATGCTAACAGACATGCAGTTGGCCTCCACCATTTTCTTGGATCAGAGGCTGCCTCAGAGCAGGGATTTCCTGACCATCTGTATAATAAAGCCCCTGATGGATTCCTTGTCTTCCTCCTTTCCCCAAGAACTTGTATAATGGCCTTTTGCATTCACAGAGATTTTTACCATCAGCCCTGTCTTACAGTGTGTCATTCCATGGTGTAACTACAAATATAGAAGCACTTTCTCTTGTCTTGGACATGCTGCTTACTTTTATTTGGGGTTCACTAGGTCCTCTATTGGAAGAGGCCGGGAGCTGAACACCTTCTCTTGCCTTTGTTTTTGTAGGCTCTGTCACCTTCCACCTCAGCTTCTGTCTTAAACTATTTGTTTCCTATATGGAATCTGTCCCCTATCTCTGAACATCCCAGTTATCCAAATCAGTATCTTCTCTGGATCTGCTGTATCCTTCTTTTTTTTAAATTAGAAGAGCAACACGCAATGTCCTGGCTGTGGACACACAGTGCACATGGTGGTACATCCTATTTTTTCACTCTGATTCTTTAATTAAAGCAAACTGATTTTGGACATTCCCAGCAGAACTGCAGTAAGTTGTACATCTCCAATAGCTGCTGTTTAAAGACTTAATTGTTGCTAGAAAGTGCTGTGAACTGAAGAGGCTGGCTTCTTGTTGGCAGGAGTTGAAAGCGAATCGTGATGCTACAAAACCTCTTAGGTTCTCAATAGCCAGAAGTAAGCCCTGTGTTTAAAAGGCTTTCTGCCCATTACGGGGTGAACCTATTGCAGGCACTGCATTCAGCCCTCACCTTTCTGCCCTTCCAGCCAAAGAAGGGTTAAGTATGAAATGGAAAATGTGCTGTAAAGGCCCGATGTGATTCAGCACGTGGTTGTAGGCTGACTCTGAAGCTGAGTCTCAGCCTGGTATTTGGGGAACCGCGGCTCAGTGGCTGCCTGCAGCCAGTGTTTCAGGTTGAGATGCTGAATCCTCAGTGGATCTCCAAGATCTCTGGGACTTGGGGCATCATTAACCCGTGATGCCACAGGATTGAGACTGTGGGGAACTGCAGCTGGTTTCCTTCCATGCTCTGTGTGTCTTTCAATGGTATAAAACACTCGCTTCCTCTCCAGAATGCTCTCTTCCATAACAGACAAGCTTAACCCAAATTAGCTTGGATTCCTTGTAAGCTAAGATTGCCCACACGGGCAGTGAGTGTGGATCACAGCAGTGAGTTAGGATGTCCGAGAGCTGGATGAAATTGCAAACCTGGCTGTGGGTTTCTCAGTAAAAGGTTATAGTATCAAAATGGATCAAGTTATCTCCCAGTATTGATGCAACATTAGTATCTAACAAATTGTCATCACTGTCTGCACTCTGGATTTTTGCTTTATAGCCCAAACAGGTGTTTGCAGGGAAAAGTCTTTTTTGTTCTGTAATATTTTTAAAGGGGGTGTGAGTGCATGGAAGCGTCCCCGGCCAGCCCCCGGCTCTGGGTGGCGAGGAGAATTCCAGGAACTACAGGAAACTGATGTCACTGCATTGTGTTTGCTTGTTTTCTTTTGACTGCACTAATGTTTAATTTTAACTTAACCCTCAGAGGGGTATTTTTAGTAAAACTGTTTCTTCACTCCTCCTGTCTATGTTGGGGGGGGGAACAGATTGTGCCTCCTTGTTTTTTCCAGCAGTCAGCTCTTTCTCCCTTCCCTCTGAAGAGCTCTTTGATGATTGACTGAGAGCTTGAACACTTCACAGCATGTGTTGCCCTGGCTCTTCGTGTGGAGCAGCTAAAAGTTCGTGTTGTTTGTTCTGTACCCAGCTCTCTTGATTTGATCCTTGATCCAGGCTGAAAGGAAGCAGGTCTGCCTGGGCAGAAGTGCTCCGTTCTGGTAAAAGAACAATATCTCTTCCAAATCTTCAGCTACTGCTGTGGCTGTCCTGTGGGGTGGCTGCTTCTTTAGGGGACTGTCAGGTTCTTCAGTGACTGTCTGCTGGGGACAGATCAGCTTTTAGAAAAGTTAACAGCACTTGAAGTTGGAAAGGCTTTGTCAGCACTCAAGAGAATCCCAGCCCTGCAGGGTGAGGGTTTCACCCTTTAGGTTTTGTTTGTTTGTTTGTTTGTTTGTTTTAAAAAAAAAAAACGAGGTGACACTTAAAACTCATTATTGGCCTCAAGCGAAAATTTGAGCAGCAAAAACTACTTGTTCTGCTGATCTTGAAGAATCGAATCAATTCTTGTGTCTGAACTGCATGGGACAATCTTTGAGGCCCTACTAGGCTTATTTATTTATTTAAAAACACAAACACACACAAAAAGCCCAAAACAAAGAAATACAGCTCAGTGCAGGGCATGGATTAACTGGAGAACTTTTCTCTCTTCCATATCTTGGACCTGAGCTTTGGCTGCTGCCTCTGTGGTTTGCTGTTCATGGATTTCTGTATTTTTCCTGTGCAACCTGTTCTAGGTGGACCTGCTTTGGCAGGGGGGTTGGATGAGATCCCAGAGGTCCCTTCCAACTCCATATTATGCTGTGATTCTGCAGAAGAGGAACAAAATCAGAAAACTCTTGTTTCATCCTACTCCATTTCTAGTCCGTGTGTTACAATAATTGCTCGGGTGCCAAACACAAAAGAATTGCTGTGATTTTTGGTTTGTCATTGTTTCGTGTATGAAAATGGCTTTAATTCGTAATTATCTACATATTTTAAGAAGTGTGTATGTGGAGAAGCCATTGAAAAAAAGACAGCGGAATAATTAAATTCCCAGCAGCTCCCCATGTGAATACTAAAACATCAAGAGTGTCTTCTGTGGTTTAGCATTATCCGCTTCCCAAGCAGGCTCAAAGCGGGGAATCGCCAACTTTGATTCCTTTTCCTGTACAAACAGGTCTCTGCTTTTTGAAAGGCCAGGCAAGAAATGCCTTTATCTCTGGCAAAGGGAGGTTTATACGCATGGGCTCATCAGCATTCTATACCTTGCCACCTCCTGGAGGCTTCACCTCTTGCTGTGCTTCTAAATAGCGGCACCCACTAATGCAGAAGAGCATTGGGGGGGGCATGGAAAATGTTACCGGGTGCTGTAGGGTGCTTTGTGTGGCTGGTATTTGGGAGATGGGTCAGCTTGGGTTTCCGATTGCAAGGGTTTGTTGTGGCTGGATATTTTTACTGCCTTTTCCCTCTCCCCTGCCCCACCGCCCCCCCTCCGCCCCTCATTCACTTTTAAAAGAAACCAGCCCGGGTTGTGCTGAGCTCAGCGCCGCAGCCATCGGTGAAGATGCCACAGGGAGAAGCAGCATTTCTCCTGCGGTGGGAAACGGTGGTTCCTCACGCTGTCGGATCGCTTGTGGGCCCAAGGTATTCCCCATCCAGCAAATGAGGGTTGCCTCACTGTTTCCTCTCCGTCTCTGTGTGCACAGGCGTGGGGGGGGAAGCTGTTTAGAAAATCCCCTTGCTGAGGAAGGGACTGTGCTGTGGGTTTTGGAGCAGCATTTAGCCCAGTGCCGTGATGAGCATCAGTTACTGCATTTATTGCTGTCGGGTATTTGACTGGTAGGGGATTGGTGATGCCAGTTTTCTGGTTCCCAGCTGTGGGCTTCCATTTGCATCTCCATACCATTTGAACAGCTTGTAAATCTCTGCTCTGTAAATCTTCTGTGTATTGTTTTGCTCTCCTGTTCACTGTTTCTCTGCTCTTACATAGAAGACTCGTGTAATCCTGGGATTTGGCTGTGCCTTGTGCAGCTCTGGCCTCACACCCCTCCATCCCGGGCAGCGCAGAGCGGAGGAGAAACACAAAAAGGGAATTTCAGATTCTCAGACTCATCCCTCTCCTCCCGTCCTCCCCACCCTGCAAATCAAGGACGTGTGATCCCTCGACAAGCCTTTCTGATTAGTTCTCATCTTGTAGCACTCGCTTCTGTGTGCCTGAGTGGTGCTGCAAATTATAGCGACCTTTTATTTGTTTGTAGCTTTTAATCAGCTTTAGCGTGGCTTTCCTGCTCAGTAATTGTTCCTGTAATGCCATCTTGTGGTGGCCCTGGGACTCTAAATCTGGCTTTTCCCCAGCCAAAGCTGAGGAGTGAGCTATCTTCTGTGTGGTGTATTAGTGATTGCAGCTCCCTTTTGTGTGCTGGTGAATCAAGGGAATCCCTCTCTCTAACTGGGTGACACTGGTCAGGGAATGATCTTCTGGAGCTCATGTCTTCTGTTACAAAGAGACCCTCATGGCAGATGCCTGCACTTGGTGCTTTGATACTGCAAAAGAAACCTCATGGCAGATGCCTGCACTTGGTGCTTTAACTATGATACTGCAAAAGAACATAACATGTAGCTGTTAAAAGGATTGATTAAATATAATACGGAGAGTGGTGGTGTTCATTCATTCTCAAGTTATAATAGCAAGCTATTTATTTAGTTAAGTATTCATCCCAGATACACTGCATGTTTTAAGTCCAGCATTGTTTTGAGTGCTTCTCTAAACACAGAGGAGCTGTTTAAGACTTTGAGACGATACAGTCTTGTGATTGTGGCAAGTGGGAGGGTGTCAGGATGTTGTAGAAATTCCACTTTTATCTCTGATGGTTTTTTCTCAATCTGTCTGGGCTTTGGATAAGCCGCAGGGGCAAAAATAAGTCCAGTGTATTTCTGCTTCTCAATGACCTGGGAGCTTTCCTGTACCTTAGAGGCTAAGAACTACGTGTCTTGTTAATAAATGAAGTCACGAATAACTGTATTTCTTTTTTTTTGCCTTTCCAGTGTTCCCAACTCTTGCCCGGCCAGTCCACGTGGTGCTGGATCCTCAGGATATCGTTTTGTTCACAACATTACCTCGGATCTGCAGCTGGCAGCAGAGTATGCTGCAAAAGCAGCATCAGAACAGCAGGCAGATGCATCTGGCGGGGACAGCCCAAAGGTTCAGAGAAACATTACTTACCCAGCCGTGCTCCTTGGGAGGCTTATTAAGACCTGGCAGTTCATTGCCAGGGATGGATTTAGCTAAAAAGGGTCTAAGAATACCCTGGCCATAAGGGTATCCTCCAGGATTTGGGGACCATGCCTTAAAAACAGCATCTATTACCAGTGGATGATGAATCTGCTTGTGTCACTGCCCAAAATGTTTTCAAGTCATTCACTAAAAGGGTTAAGCAAGAAGAATTTTTTTGTTGTTGCTTGTTTGATAAGTCAAGAACCCACAGAGAAGAGTTGCATTAAAATTCAGAGTCTTGTTTTCTTCACTTAATTAATGGTATTTTGCAAAACACACTTGGAGAAAAGGGAAGCAGGGGAAGAAACCAGATCCTTGCCATGAGAAATCTGTTAGTTTGACTTTAAAACAGGCACAAAGGCCTGTCAAGCAAGTGTTAAATGAGGAGAGTAGCAAGTGGAATTTAGATTAAAAAATAACTTAGTTATAATGATCAAATTTAATTTTGGTGAGCTGATCTTCAGATCAAAGTTGAAGGTCTAGATCCAAAACCACCTGATTTGGGATTGGGTGGAGGAACACAGTACTAGATGGCTTTTTTTTTTGTAGATTGAATTCTCCCTTGAGACAGGAAGGGCTGTTCTTGACGGAGTAATATGAAGAGCTGGGAATATGAGATCTGGCAAACAAATTAAAGTTCCTAGAATGAAACAAATCCTGCTGAAGAGGGGAAGGGACAGGATCACATCGGGCTTGTTGCTGGGAGGAGAACTGGTAGCATACTTGCATGAAACCTTTCTAACAAAGTGTAGTTGTAGCTGGGCAGAATTGAAGGCTTCAGTTTCATGAACACTGAAAGCAGTGAACATACCCTACAGCCCCTAACACTTTGCTCCCAATTGCTTGTCCTGAATCTTTTTCCTGTGCTGGTTTAATCACCGTATGGTAAATTCAGTGGTGAATGGGTCTAGATTAAAGTTAGCTTTTTTTGTGTGTGTTTATGGGGAGAGGGAAGGAGATACTTTAATCTGGCTCTGTCCTATAGTCCTGTTTGCACACAAATGCTTGTACTAAATTGGGAGGTGGGAGGATAAAATCAGAGTGAAGGGGAAGAGAGTGATGCTGCTCTTAGTTGCCCCCAATGCTCTCTTAGCATCTGTAAAACTACAGCCCAATTTCCTCTTTTAGTTTGGGTTGTTGGCACACTCTCGTGTAGGAATTCTTTGTTAGTGACTAAAATTCTGTTTGTTTGTTTGGTTTTTTTTCCTTAGGATGAGTCCAAGCCACCCTATTCTTATGCTCAGCTCATTGTGCAGGCTATATCTTCGGCACAGGACAGGCAATTAACACTAAGTGGGATCTATGCCCACATTACCAAGCATTATCCGTATTACAGGACTGCTGACAAAGGCTGGCAGGTGAGTTCTTGACACTGACAAGCTTTTAAACTACTTTGACAGGGCTTATCTGCTTTGAAATGCATTTGTTAAAGATTTGGGGCACTGGGAATAGAGCTGCTTTGACTATTCCCAGAGTGAATTTGTTTAACATAAGCTAACTGGTTTGTTTGTGGGTGATTAGTTTTTTGAAATACTTTCTAGGGCAATGTAGTGTGTTAACATTGGACTTGCTGGTTTCTGAAACCCTTTTAATTCTGTAGTCATGTATCTTTCATTTGTTTGGTTTTATTCTTCTACATCCTTGCTGTCAGTCACTCCTCTGCCCAGATACTCACCCGAATCTTGCTTAATCCCTCACCTTGTCTTAGTTGGCATGATCTGTCCAAGCAGAAGATGTACAGCCTGAAACTGAGGTCACAGTTTTGAATCATAATAATACCTTAAACCATGGTAGATGTTTTGTTTCCCCGGTGTATGAAATGCATTGCCTAAGTCACAGTTTGCAAGTTTTGAATGTCACAATGGGAACTTGGGGAACTTTGAGTCCGTGCCTTCCTTGTGGTATTAAAGGAAATCTGACCACCTTCATAGGAGAGTTTGGATGTAGTTAACACATGCTAAATCAAGCTTAAATGTTCGCTCGAGAGCTGCTTTCAAAGTTCCACAAACCTCAGCTCCACCTGCTTTAGACTTTTTCTTGGCATCGCACCTCTGAAACGGGTGTTGCCATTTGAATATAATACACCAATGCAGCTGGAAAGACTCTTGCAGCTGCTGATTTCATTGTGTTCAGCTGGCAGGAGCGGTGCTGCTTGGTGCACTTTAAGTACAGTTGGAATAAATACGTTTCTGCCTCCCTGGCTTTTCCCTGCAGTTGTAATTAGTTGTGGAATTCACTTCCTGCCTTAACCTGCTCGGCAGAACTGTGCTTTGTGAACCAGTTGCTGCGTCCTGCTTCAAAGAGAACTGCATTTCAGCAGAGGGTGAAGTTGCCTTTTCCCCTTCCCTACCGGTGACATTGTAAGGCTTTGCTTGTGAAGAACTCATCTAAAGCTGCAACAAAGTTCTTGTTTTGTTTTGAAAGTGGAAGAGGAATGAGCTTGCACACACCTGGGCTTACCGAGCCTTTCCCCTAGCCCTAAAGACAGCACTACACCCAGTAAGAGGTGGGATTTTGCAACAAAAAGGGGGAAAAAGCCAGTATCTGGAGAGCTGTACAGTGCTAGGCTAGTGCCACACAGCTAATGGATTCTTCTCAGAGACTGAGGGCATGTTGGCTGGTTTGTGTTATGATTACCATGAGATGCAGCGTCCTTTAGGGCATGTTTGGGCACCCTGGTGATCGTTTGGCAGGTAAACAGTTAGCACAGGCTCAGGCAGTTTTTTTCCACTTGCCCAGAATGAAGCCTGTCTTTTGAGAGAGTTCTGATGTGGTTTACGGTGATTTCCCCCTGCCTCAGCAAAAGATCTGCTTTCATTGCTTTCCACAGTAAAGGCACTGCAGTGCCTGGCTCCAGATGAATTTAAGTGATGGTGCAGTGCCAAGCAAACCCATCTTTCAGCGTGGTTAGTAGCAACTCTGACATGTTTCCCCAGGTTTTCTCTTGCAGCTCTCCTCTGACTTTGGAGCTGTGTGAGTGGAGCGACTTGTTTCTGTCTTCACCGCTGATTCTGACAGGGTGGATTTTCTTTTTCTAAGCTGTGTGGCAAAACCCATTCGTCTTTGTTACGCGCTTCCTCGTGGCAAAATAATCATCTCATTCCTCTGCTTCCTGCAGAATTCCATTCGGCACAACCTCTCCTTGAACCGTTACTTTATTAAAGTCCCACGCTCCCAGGAGGAGCCTGGAAAGGGCTCCTTTTGGCGAATTGACCCTGCTTCTGAAGCCAAACTAGTAGAGCAAGCATTTAGAAAACGAAGGCAAAGAGGAGTGTCCTGCTTCCGAACACCTTTTGGGCCTCTCTCCTCCAGGTAATTTCAACTTCCTCTCATCTCCGTGCCAAACTCCTTACAAAGAAAACAAACAAAAACTTCTCCTGAAGAACAGAGAGCAAACTTGACTTCTGTGTACAGTTTGAGAGGTTAGATAGTCCTGAGGCATAATCTGAAAATTATTGTGACTTATTAAGTGTTTACCCAAAAAAAAAAAAAAAATCTAGACCTAAACTACAAAAATGCATCAAATAATTTATCTGTTTTGGCATCATTTCAAAGAAATTCAAAGCAGTTATCACCGGAGTGAGTGTTTTCAGATGCCAATCTCTCATTTCAGGGAAGCTGTGTTTAGATGTGGATTAGATTGTAGTGGGAATAACTTCTGTGGTATTTAAAACACCCTCCTATAGGGAAGATCAGGTTGATGGTGGTTGCCAGCAGTGGAGCAATGGGGGATGTTCTCTCCAGTCCGTGGTGGAGCTGCAGGAGGGGAGCTGTGTGCAGTGACAGCTTTCTCTCAGCCCTGTAGCTGCGAGGATAAGATTTGCAATCCAGCACTAACTGGAGTGGTTTTGTGTAACATTCCTCCCACACCCCCTCTTTTCTATCCTTTAAAATGGGAGAGCAGCTTCTCTGTCTTTTGTCATTGAGGAACCAAGTGGTTGGGGAGGGAAGCAATGGGGAGAAGGGGGAGCAACTACTTTATAAGCATATGCAGGGCCAGACACTTCTATCTACATCACATCTTTCTTCTCTCCCTGTTTCTCAAACGCTGACAAAAACCGTTTGAGAATAGCCTGAAATTGTACAACTGATCCCAACATGAGGCACTTAAAGCTTTTTTGTCAGCACTGGGTGTCAAAATGAAACGTTAAGCATACTCTGAAGGTTCCAGTTTCCTTTGGCAAGGAATAATATCTCAGCATTTGGTGCCAGAGCGTTTGTGAGGTTACCTGTACCTTGTGGTACGACTGTACTGGGCAGTGTGGGAGAAAGGCTGTACTTCTAGAGAATCCTGTACTGGAGATAACTCTTGGTCTCTGCTGCTGTCTTGTGGTCGAAATGCATCTACACTTGCCAACACTCTGTTCTGGTCTTTCAGGAGTGCTCCTGCCTCCCCTACTCACCCTGGCCTGCTGTCCCCTCACTCTAGTGGCCTACAGACTCCAGAGTGCCTGTCGCGGGAGGGCTCACCCATTCCACATGATCACGACTTTGGGTCAAAATTAGCTTCAGTTCCAGAGTATCGGTATTCACAGAGTGCACCTGGTGAGTAGCTCTTGCTTGGCAGAGGGTGACTGTTCACTGCCACCCAGTGCCATGCTGAGGACACAGCAACAGTGCTTCTGCTGGTGTGTTCCAGGAGGATCCAGATCTCTTTCCACTTCCCTGTTAAGAGACTGATGATGCACGTGCAACTTCAGACCATTTTTCTTACTAGTCTTCGGGTGAGGGGGCAGGAGATGAAGGAACGTGTAGAAACACAGGAGCTAACCTTGAAATAGGTGGCTCTAAAGAACTGATGGCAAAGTAGCCATGACGGAGCATAGCTCCACTTGCACTAATTTACCAGCCTTCTGGATAAGATCAGCTGGGCTTTGCTGAGCTCTGTGGTGCTGTGGCCAGGGCCTTGGTAATTTGTTAAGCCCCGGTGAGTATCTGCTTGTCAGCTGTGCTGTAACAGGCCTGATGTATAGGGTGCTCCTGGTGAAGCTGGAAGGCAAAGCTCGTTAAGCAAAGCTTCCTCTTTTTGTGCTTATCGTGTTCTTTGTTCACAGAGAAGTGGGCTCAGATGGCAAGTAAGGTTTTAGTAAGTTCAGAAAGAGAAGGTTGAAGGTGGTATTTTTGAAGCTTTGTGTTTTGTTGCCTACCTCTACTCCTGGCAACACTGAAGGACTGAGTACTGCAGATTAGAGGTGAAATGAGTCCTACTCCTGGCAACACTGAAGGACTGAGTATTGCAGATTAGACATGCGGAGGTGAAATGAGGGGAGGTCTTTTTGCCTCTCCTATTAATGTATGCTTCTTTCTTCCGTTTAGGATCTCCAGTCAGTGCCCAGCCAGTGATTATGGCTGTTCCTCCCCGACCATCTACTCTGGTGGCCAAACCAGTCGCGTACATGCCAGCATCAATAGTGACTTCTCAACAGCCCTCATGTCATGCAATTCATGTAGTTCAACAAGCTCCCACTGTTACAATGGTCCGAGTTGTGACCTCCTCTGCAAACTCTGCAAACGGATACATCCTCACCAACCAGGGCACAGCAGGAGGACCTCACGAAGCTGCAGGAGCAGTCTTGGATTTAGCTGGTGACCACCGAGGTAGCTTTTCACCTCCCTTGTTATTCTGCTAATAAGTCTTGAGCAGGCCTGGGGAAGTGGATGGTCAAATGCTGTTTCGCTCACTGGGTGACTAGCCCTTAATAAAAGATGTTTTTCCAGGTAAAACTTAAACCAAGTAAGAATTCACCCATTTGATGTTTCCACTAGTGAGCAGGACAACTGTGCTCCCTTGTGTCCTGTGGGGAACAAATCTAACAGACTTTGGAGGCTGAAAAAAACATGCAGTGCTTTAAATATTTCTACTATCCGCATTATCAATACCATGCCAGGGTATTAGTCAGCTGGATGTGCTGTAGAAATGTGTGGTTTTTCTAGCCAACCAGACAGCCTGGGAAAGGCTGAAACTCCCAGCTTCAGGATGGCTGTGTAAATAAATGATTGAGCCCTTCTTTTCCACAGGCCTGGATTCCTAGAGGAAAGCATGTGCTTCTGAAAATGCAGGCAGTGCCCCATTAACAAAGTCTTCAAAAACCAGTTACATCAAAGGCCTCTTTTTTTCCTAAGCTGGAAATTCCAGCCTTGGGGGATTTAGTGAGTTAAATGTTCTCTTGCTGTGATCTAGACAACACCTTGTCTGCTCACCTTTTCAGATGGGCTTGGTGCTGCCAGATAGATGTGTGTTGGACCAGCAGCAAGACTAGTTACTCCAATTGCTTTTATGTGGGCACAGGGACAATGATCCTTCTCTAAGGGAAAGAAAAAAATTACACAGATCTTCCCCTACAGCAATAGCAGGACCACTGGCATTTTTAGTTCAGCACTGGTTATCCTGCTTGAGTTTCACTCACGTTCTCTAGATAAATTCCTGTCTGGATCCTATACGTGTTCCTGAAGCTCTTGCGTTTGCAGCTGCCTGTCTGTCACCTGCTCCCTTCTTTCATTCACTAGTTCTTGCTGTCACTCGTTCTTTCCCTATTTGTCCCTCTCTTATTCCCACTCATATCCTTTTCCAGTCTCTACCTTCCCTTGTTTTTCCTGGTTGCTCCATTTTCTTTCCTAATCTCCCAGCTTTCCTTGCCTTTTCTCTCCCCGCTTCCCAACAGCCTGAGTGCTCTCACACAGTTCTCTCTATCCAGGAACTCAGCTCTCCTTTTTTTTTTTTTTTTTTTTTTTTTTTAAATTTTATTTTATTTTCCTGCCTCCTGGCTTCTTCCTGTAATTCCATACCTGGCAAAAGCTTGCAGTTGTGGGAAGCCCTCCTTATAAATCACCCTACGTGCAGGGCCTGACACCAAGCTGTTGCAGACTTTTGGCTCCAGGCATTGTTTAAGATCTTAATGCCTTCCCCTGCTGTGTGGTATTGAGGGTCAGGCCAATTCGCCTGTAATTACAAAGTAATCTCTGAGATTTGCAGTGACTGCTGTCCGTATCACAGTGATAATGTGCCAATAAGGGAGATGATGCCTTTTTAGGACAAAAGGGTCAAGTTTATAATCTTGATAATTTTTTATTTTTTTTTTTGGCTGAGTGGCTTATGCTGTAAGAAAAAAATTCTAAATATTGATAGAGCGTATGTGCAATAGAGAATTTCACTGAATTTCACTGAATTTTTAGAGTTGGAAGGGACCATAGAGATCATCTAGTCCAACTCCCCTGCTGAAGCAGGATTGCCTAGAGCTTGTCAGAGCATGTTACTCAGGAGCATCCAGGCGGGTCTTGAAAATCTCCAAGGAAGGGGACTCCACACCCTCCCAGGGCAGCCTGTTCCAGGGCTCTGTCACCCTCACCGTGAAGAAGTTTCTCCTCATATTTGAGTGGAACCTCTTATGTTCCAACTTGTGCCCGTTGCCCCTCGTCCTCTCACTGGGAACCACTGAAAAGAGTCTGGCTCCCTCCTCCTTCAACCCTCCCCTAAGATACTTGTAGGCGTTGATAAGGTCTCCCCTCAGCCTTCTCTTCTCCAGACTAAAGAGTCCCAGCTCTCTCAGTCTCTCTTCATAAGGGAGATGCTTTAGTGCATGCTTTAGTAATGTTTTAGTGCTTTCAAATATTCATCCTGACCTTCTGTGGCGTTGAGGTGTTTTCACACCTTTAAGCCTGGGGTATGTAGCGCTGCTAAAATGTTGATGAGAATAAAGTGTTGCTCCTAAGCCAGGGTAGTAAATGATTGCTGTCTGTTCTGCTCTTAAGCAGGCATGGATGAAAAGCCAACGATCGCGTTTGCCACGATACCGACAGCCAGCCGTGTTATTCAGACAGTGGCCAGTCAGATGGCACAGGGGGTTCCAGGCCAGACAGTCACCATCCTTCAGCAGGCAGCTCCGGTGACCATCGGACAACACCAGCTCCCGGTGCGCGCCGTCACCCAGAATGGGAAACACGCCGTGCCCACCAACAGCATCGCCGGCAGCGCTTACGGTAGGCTGTTGGCATTGCTCTCTGGTTCCTTGATTACTTTCTGAGCTTAGCAGTTAGGTCGTAAAACCGTAAGGGTTTTCTCTTCTTAGTTGTATATCGAATTATTCCAAAGGTATTTGAATTCTCCAACTTCTGTGGCTGTAAATGTCAGTGGTGGATATCTTTCTGTCCACCTCTGCTCCCTATCCCTAGTGGAATAGTTTTGCCATCTGCCATTGCTTCTGATAAGTCCAGTGTCTTTCCTTTGTCCTTGGCTATGCGTTTATTACTGCTTCCAGTGTCTACCTTTTGAGGGCTACTTGTTGAAAGTGTCAATGATTCTTGTGTTGAGCCCGTTTTTTCATTTGTTTTCCTCTGACAAACAGCCTTTGCTTTCAGCATGCCAAATAATGAAATTTCCATGGTGCTCTTTAGATCTTGTGAAATATGGCTCCGTAGAGTATTAAGAAAATACCATACTTTCCCATGTTAAGGTCTTAGAGCCTGAGAGGAATAAGATCTATTTCATCAGGTGAAAGAACGTAGCATTCTTTTATACACAGGATGTGTTCTAGTCATTTGTCAAGCCTGATATTTAAAATCCCATGCTAGCTATATCTTGGCAGCCTCCTCTTACTGCTAGCTCAGCACCTCAGGTTTTGTTCAGTTAAGGATGACGCCGCAATGGTAATATCCAGGTTTCTTACAGCCTTTTTCAATGAGCACCTGAGCACCTCTGCTCTCCCGGGCCAGTGCCTACAGGGATTTGAAATGAAGGGCACTGGTGGGATTTTGATGGCTTTCATGAAGAAATTCTACAGACTTTTCTGCCATATCTGTTCACAGTATCACCTGGCTTGCAAATGAATTGCAAGAATCTTACTGGAGAAATGTGAAAATGATAGTAATAAGGTTTTTATGCAACTAGGATATTAAGATACTGAATAGATCAGATACACGGAGTTGCTGCTACCCAGCAGTTGTGTTAGTCTAGTGGAGAGTCAGAGAGGTTTTTATGTAATGTTTTTATGTTAAGATACTCTTATCTCACCAAAACTTTTCTAACTTTCTCATCAAATTGCAAAGTATTCCAGTTGCATCTGAGGGGTTTTTATTGTAAGTGGTAGGGAGTTTTCTGGTTGACAGGATGGAGCCAGAGTCTCTTGACTCTTGTTGGTATGAAGTTCACTTCAGCTGCATGGTTTAGGTTCTCAAAGTCACTGAACTGTAATTGGTGACTGCCCTTGTCCTTGCCCTACTTTTTTTCCTTCATCCTCTTGATACTCTACATCTTCCTTCCCATGCCTCGGTAGAAGTTACTGGGCTTTGAGGGCCTTTGTTCTGTTTGCTTTGTTTATTTATCCTAGGGCTCCTTTTTTGATGGACTGAGCAGTGAGCACACCACTAATGTTCTGTCATTCCATCCTTTGCAAATCAGTCTGGAGGGCAGAGGATGTGCTGTCTCCTGAGTCCCCTTTGGCTGCCTCTCCGATTGATGCAGAGTCCAAAAACTGCATGTGTTTTGTTTTCCAAGCAGTGGTGTGTGCCAAAGCCAGTGTGTAAGCACATTCTCTGTCTGGAACTAGGAATTGTAGACATTTTTACAGAGGGTCGCTACTTAAATCCTCTTTTTTTCTCATCACTTTTATTAATGGGAGGGTGAGAGCTTTTTGTCAGTACTGGAATACAAGGGTGGGAGCCAGAAATTCCTATGGTCTGATCACAGTTCTGATGGGAATGTGTTTGGTTGTCTGGGGTAAGCTCTTTCCTGCCCATTTTTACAAGTGAGAAGTCAGTACACTCAATATTTGGATTGTAATCTAGTTTCCCAACAGACCTTAACTGTGTTCTTTACTGTGCAAGCAGGGCTAACGAGGGCCCTCGCAATTGAAGGCAAAGCACACAGATGGTGTAGCTTCCAAGAAGTTCTGATTGTAGGATGAGAGAATGACCTCTCAAACATGAGGTGTGCTGTAATTTTAACAGGGGATGGACGGATCCTCCCCTTCTGCAGATAAATGCTTCACTGGCAGTGCCTTGTTTGACAGTGGGTAGGAAGTTCTCCCGTGAAAGGGGTTATAGCAGTTTGGTGAACTCATTAGCCACATCTAGGTACAAGTACCTGAAAGGAGGCTGTAGAGAGACGGGGGTCGGTCTCTTCTTCCAAGTTACAGATGATAGGACAAGGGGTAACGGCTTCAAGTTGCGCCAGGGGAAGTTCAGGTTGGATATTAGGAAACATTTCTTTACTGAAAGGGTTATCCAGCATTGGAATGGCCTGCCCAGGGAGGTGGTGGAGTCACCATCCCTGGAGGTATTTAAGAAACGTGTAGACATGGTTCTTCAGGGCATGCTCTAGTGCCCAAGATTACTGGTTTGTGGTGGTGTGCTGTGTGGGTGGGTGATGGTTTTTGGTTTGGTGGTTGTTGTTGTGTGTTTAGGTGGTGGGTGGTGGTTTGTGTTTTTTGTGGATTTTTTTGTGGATTTTTTTGTGGGGTTTTTTTTGTTGCTTTTTTGGTGGTTGGACTCGATGATCTCTGAGGTCCCTTCCAACCACTACGATTCTGTGATTCTGTGATCTCTCCCTCTCCGCCATGATCTCTCAGCTTTGTGCAAGTCTTACAAAATGGACTTGGAAACAACACTTTTTGAACACGTGCCAGTTATCACGTTTGACTGTTTCGTTTTCTTGTTTTCTGGAATAACAAAGCACTCGCGCTGCTTCCTCACGTTAATTCTCCTTCTCTCTCTTGTCCTGCTTCCCAGCTCTTACAAATCCATTGCAGCTTCTTGCAGCCCAGGCCAGCTCGTCCACTCCTGTTGTCGTCAGCCGGGTGTGTGAGACGGGGACCGAAGAGCCAGCAGCAGCCTCTTCCAGTGAACCTGAAGTCAAAAGACCCCGGATAGAGGAGTCCAGTGGAGCGGTTCCAGCCCAAACTGGAGTCATCACGTCTACGATGCCACAAGGACAGGCAACCAGTGAATGAAGAACCAGTGGGAGGAGCTGGAGTGATGTGGGGTGGGCATGGGATGGCAGGAGCCCTAAAGCAGCTTTCAAAGAAAACAAACCACAACTGTAACAGCTCAAAACATAGCGGATAAAGAACTCTCTTTAAAGTCAGATTTTTAAATGGGAGGTCAACAGCTGATAGAATCACAAGGTGCCAAAAAGAATGGAAAACCCCTCCCAAGAACCCATACCTGGAACTCTGTTCTGTCTTTACCTATGGGATGTTTTTTCCTTTTTTTTTTTTTTTTTTTTTTAAAAAAAAAAAGATTCAAAAAAATACAGACAACTGATTGTATGACTGCTGGGATATTTTTAACTGTCTCTTCCCCTTTTGGCTCCAAGGGGATGGGATTTGCAGTTCAGCATCTAAAGGAATGTAACACAAATACAGTCTGCTCCCTGGAAAGAAAACTCATTTTCTATGCCTTAATACTGTCCTCCTCAGAGCTTTGAACCATAGGACCATTTTAAAAAGGCCACTTAAGGCAATCAAATGCTGAAAGATGGGTGCAGTCTCTCACAACAACAGCATTAAAGAAACATGGTACCAAGCTTAAAGAAAAAGGCAAATGATTTTGTTTTTCTTTTTTTTAAATAGAAAAATTCTGAATATAAACAAATGTTTATTTATGTGGGGATTCAGGAGGAAGAGTTACAGGACTCAACCACCTGGATTTCCAGATGCAATTTCTCTCCATTCCCTCTGAGGGAGAATAAGATGACAGAGGAACGGTATTAATTTGGTTCCTGTAAAGATATTAAAAACAAAGGGTTTTGTACCTTCAGTGATTTCTTACAATTATTCATCACTTGCTCTGGACAACAGCCAAAGTATCTCGATGACTGAGGATCACGTGGGGAAGGGTGTCTCCAAAAGGTTCTGTGTGCATTTGAGGGATCACATCCTGTGCTGGAGCACCGGGTTTTGTTCAAAATAGCACTGCAGGTGGAGATACCGCCGCTGTCTCTGTGAACTTGAGGAAATATTGGTTGGTGTCGTGCACTAAAGCAGTCTGGCTTCACCTCTGGTTGGTGGTGTGGCCCTCAACTAGATGGACGATGGTCAGGAGGCCAGGGCCTGGGAGATGTCTCTTAATGACCCTCTGCCATGGCTCTGGTGTCATTCTTCTGAGGGGAGTTGAGAGCTGGGTGAGAGGCAGCAGAGTTCATGCCATGTTTAATACAAATTCTATAGGGGTGTAGAGACCAAGGCAAAAAAGGCCATTTATTTCCTATTTGGCAGAAGTCACTGCAAGTTTTAAACAGGTTTTCTGAACGGAATTTGGAGGTTTCCTTTCATTGCCTGGCTCCCTCTCCCATCTCACCTCCCTTTTGAGGACCATTTGGGTTGGCCTTTATTCTATCTGTATTCTGGGCTCTTTGTGTAAGAGTTCTGTGTCCCAGTAACACAGATTTGAGTCACTTCAGCCATGTGGAGCAGTGGGGAGGTGTGACATCTTATGACTGATAAAGAAGCCATCTCCTGTGTAGCCTCCAGCTAAGCCCTCTGGTTTTATGCCTGTTTGCAGTCCCCTTGGCTAACGTGTCTTCTGGCAGCACAGCAGACGTCTTTTAATTTAGGAAATGTCATTAAGGTTTTGGTGATGGCAAAAAGGACTCCAGAGGGGTGGGATGTGTTTTTGGTAGGTTATCCCTGCCTGTGCTGATTTATTGTCAGGTTTCTGCCTTGTACAGCCTGACAGCGCTACCGTGGAGCAGAGACAAACCCACTGCATAAACGTGTTGCAAAAAGATTTCCCCTCTGTGCAGTAAATGATCCTGTCAGGGCATCCATGGGGATTAGGGGGTAAGGAACAACCATTCAATGTCTGCTGGAATTTGGGGAGGGGGAGAAAGTCAGCAAGGTAACAGCTGGCATCACTGGTTCCCTTCTAGGTTTCCTTTTTGTTCCCTTCTAGGTTTTCTTTCTCTTTGCCAAATCCTATTCAATAGCCACAGTCCCACCACTTGAGTAAAACCCAGCTGTGTTTTATTCTCAAGCCGATTGTTTTGTGAGAAATATTTCTGAAAGGAGGAAAGAATTTCTTGGTCTCGTGATTTGAGGTTACATCCTGCAGTTAGAGGCACACGAAGTATTCGGGACAGGGCATTTTTCTACAGCTCAGTTTTCATAATTTAGGTGTGTCCCTTTGGCGACAAGTTATTAGATGGGATTTTAGTACTTGGAAATGAATTTTTGAGAAGGAGGATTGTTACAGACCACAAAGTAATTGAAGCAGGCCAACCTCCAGCTGTCCCTTTTCCTGCTGGGAAGGGTAGGTGCGGCACAGCGGAAAAGCACTCGGATTAGCTCTGTTTTCTGTAGCCTTTTCAAAGCCAGAATTCAACGAAATGGACATCAAGGAAGAAGGCACAAGTGAGAGCGGGGCTAGTTTATGTGAGTCACTGCTTTCAGGTGACTGCTGGTGTTGATACAGGCACACCTCTGAAAGCCCTGAGGCCACAGAGCTTTCTGAAGCAGAGGAGTCTTTAGGTTTCCAGAAGGTGGGGTGAGTCAGCGCAAGGTGAGCAACCAACTGAATATTGTTCAGGATGCGAAGCTGCCAAAGTTTTGTGGATTTTGCTTCACTGCTGCTTTTCTCTTGGAAAATCTCAATAATTAGGCCCTAAATTTCTGCAAACTAGTCCAGCACCGTAGAAATACATCAGCTGAATGACAGTGTTTTCATCCATCAGTTCCTGCTTTAGAGATACCTCTTGAAAGTCCATCCTCGGGTCGTGTGTATAGATCTGCCTCCTCAGTATTTAGAACAGAGTAACGCTTTCTCACTCTTCCTTTTGTGCCTCACAGCACCTGCTGGTTAAAATGCGAGTTGAGGATAAGCAGATACCTTTTTTTTCTGGTCACCCATTCTGCTTGAGGTGTCTGGAACTTGTTGGTTCATCCCATCAGGGGATTTTTGCTTTATCAGTCTGCTGCATCCCCCTACTTCTGTAGGAAGCAGCCATGCCGCTTGAATTTATGTTCTTTTTCAGGTTTGCCTATATTATTGCCTGATACGAGGTAAAATAACATCTCTTACTAAATCCTGAGAGCTATGGAAAAATGTGGTCCTCTCCTGGAACACACGAGATGGGGACATCCTGTTTCAGGCCTCCAGATTAAATCTTCCAACACGCTGCTTGCTCCAAAGACAGCACTGCTCTCTGTACACCAGTCCTGATTCCCCAGGCTTTCCCCTTTGAGCACTGCAGAGGAATGAAAATTCATGTGATGGTAGAATTAAACCTTCAACTAGAAACAAAATATTACCTTAATGGTTATATGCAGTACTCGGATTATTTTTTAATTGATCGCCTACCTTGTTTTTATTGTCTAGAAAGTTGCATCTCATGTCCTTAATTAGTTATATTAACTGAGGGAGGTTTGAGGGGGAGTGGGATGCTTCACTGCCTCTTCTGCTGGCTGTATAACAAAGGTCAAGGCATGTTGAATATTTAACCTGCTATAACTTAGACCTGGGAAAACTTTAAAACTGAGCTCTTAATGCGTGAATACACTTTTCACCATTCTCTGTTGATTTATTTCTTTTGTCTTAGGCAATGACAAAGATTAATTTCACTTTGATTGCAGTCAGTTCATAGCAACTTTTGTTGCCTCAGTTTGCAAAAGCTCAATGCAGTTGTTCTTAGTTTTATTCCGCTGGAATTTCTTAGTTATTCTTTTTTCTTGACCTTGGCTCTTGTGTTACAGGAAGCGTTTTTACAGTGAGATCAATTTAATCTGATTTAGTGATAACACAGCGCTGAGCATAGAATTGAAGTTCATGATTAGCTCATATATTATTTTTTTTCAACTCCTTTTTCTTCCCATATCCCTCCCTCCCCCACACCATTAACGCTGGCCCCTCTAGTGTCATATCCAGCCATTTGTATCCACTGATGGAGGCAGCACCTTGCACTGAGCTCTGCCCAGGGAGTCGAGGATGAAGATACCAGTGGGGCTCCAGAGCAGGTTGAAAAGGTCAATTTAGTCACCCTGTATTTCATTTTCATGCTGGGTTTTAGATGTGTTACTGTTGGGCACAGTTTGTTCAGGGCTGTGTTGTCAGAGACGTATTAAGGCTTTGTAAGAGGAAATAAATAGTTCAATAACAGCTGAAGCCTTTACAGTGTCTCTGCAACCAATGCCATGGTCTGGCTTCAAGTTTGGGGAGGAGTAAACCTGGTTTTGCATGTTTCAGACATGTGTCTTGTGTACTGACTTAGAACTGTCATGCAGAATTAATTTCCACATTTTTTTCTCCTTTTTCAGTAGGGAAATGCCAGCAGTAACGTAAAACTTGAAGCACAGAAAATTAGGGACCTGTATCTGAGCAACTGAGAGCACCTGGAGCTTTCATAGAGTGTGCTGTGGAACATTTCACTGACTGCTGGGGATGTTAAACTGATCTGAGAGCTTTTCATCTGTCTTAACAAAGGGGTTTCCCGGTGAGATATTTGGTATCGTTCTGCTGTGTGCTGGTGTATTAACAAATGTCAAAATGTAAGGTGAAAGGAGAACCGTTTCCCTGCTGTGCCAAGGTTTGGGGGTCTCAGGTGGCCAGGATTTAATCTAGCAATAGTTCTGTACAGCTGTCTACCTTTCTACAGAGGATCCAAAAGCTGTTTCTTCAAATGTATTGAATACAAGGACTAAATTACAGCTGTTTGATTGTTCCTTCTTTGTTTTTGTGGTTTAAACTATGATTTATAAATTATAATTTATCACTATGATAAACATAGATGACATAAAACTGCATTACTAGGGAAGATCAAATCTCTATTTGCTGTCTTTGCCATTGGACAGTTGTAGCTGTTTAGAAATGTAGAATAACTTGGGTTGGAAGAAACCTTCTGAGGTCTCTGCTCTAACCTCCTACTGAGAGCAGATCCAACTAGATCACGTTGCTGTGACTTTGTCCAGTGGAGACTTGAATGTCTCCAGAGGTAGAGGTTCCAAGACTCTGGTCCCTGGTCCATTCTGACCACCCATGAGATGAAAACTTTATCTCAGCAATCTAAAAAGTATTTCTCATGCAGCTGCATGTGTTCATTGCCTCTTGTCCTGTCATGTCACACCTCTGAGAGGAGCCTAGCTCTGCCTTCTCTGTCTTCCACATAGGTAGTTGAGGAGACCAGTAAGACTTTTCCCCATTTGCTTCTTTTTCTTAAGGCTGAACCGACCTGATGGTCTTGGTCTCTTCTTGTACATCACGTGCTCAAGCCCCCAGGGCTTCAGGTGGAATTGCTGCAGAAGGTCCCTCTGTGTCTCGTGCTGGGGAGCCCAAAATTGAAGACAACATAGTGCAGATAGATCTGGCAAATGCTGGATGGAGTGGAAGAATCACTTTCCTTGAGCTGCTGGCTGTACTTTTGCAAGTAGAGCCCAGTACCTGTGCGGTCTCTTTTGCTGCAAGACACGCTGCTGGTGTAAGAAACTAGAGCAAAGATCTAGTTCACTAGCAAAGTTCTAGTTCACCAGCAAAGTGAACTAGACACTCTGGATTGCATTTGTGTGTATGCAACCATCTTGTCCCCTCCTTCCAAGGAAGTGTGCCAGACTGGGGCTCGTAGCTTTTTGAACAGGAGGCAGTTCTGGATGACCCTCGTTACTGTTAAAAATATCTCTGCTTTACCTTATCAAATGATAGTTTCAGTGCAATGTGGAATTCACCTTGAGTTTCTACCTTGATGCAAAAAATCTTTCAGGTTTTTTTAATCCTGCTGCTAATAAGTTGGACTTGGGCATTAGGAGTGAACCTCCAAAGGAACACGACTTGCTTCATCATTTTGCCCTGGCTGCTCCCTGAGCTCTTCAGTTTGCAAATGCCATCCTGCAGTGAATGATCCGTCTTTCCTTGCCAGCCAGTCTCTTGGGCAGCTCCTGTTTCTGCTCCCCATCATGGTTTTGCCCTCTGTAGCTGTTTCTGTCAACTCCAGAGGCCTTTAATGCAGCTCCTAATTTAATGCCGTTGCTCGAAGGTCTGCATCTGGTGAGAATCTGGCTGGTAGCTTGCAGTTACACAACAGATTGCTCAGTCACGTAACTTTTTGTTTCTTTCTGAGTGAAAAAATTACACCAAAGCTGCTAGTACTTTAGCATACACTACTCTTGTAAAGTGTAGCTTACCATGGAGCCAGCTGTGCTGGGGAAACCAGTTACACTACAAGGTCAACTGGATTGCAGGAACTGGTGGGATTGGGAAGCAGTGCCTCCTTGCATTTTGCTCTTGACCCGAGCAAAAGGTGGCTGTGACTTCATGCTGGAGCTCGATTAGTTAGATCAGCATCTCCCTGTCTGCTGGGTGGGTTATTTGCAGGACGGTGCACGTGTGTGTGCCCAGTGTACTCCTAAAATAACCAGTGGGAAACATCTCTCCATGATGTTGGGCTTTGTCTCTCACAGGGCAGTCACACCACAGCAAGCATTTTACTTTGGGCTGAGCAAGACATTTGGAAAAATAACTTGGTTTTCTTGGAGCGCTATGGTTAAATTCCAAATTTTTAATCAGCTTTTAATCCTTCATATTTATAATGTTCAGATTCCAAATTTTTAATCAGCTTTTAATCCTTTGTATTTATAATGTTCAGAAAAAAAGTCTTTTGATACCTTTTCAAATTTACCAACACTGAATTAAACCCCTTCAGAATGTAGGGCTGGTCCTCTCCTTACGTGTCACTTTAGGTTTCAGAGCCTGAGGGTAGTTGTGCCAAGTCTGCCCCTTTGCTCTCCAGGTAGAAGAAACCGTTGACGATTCATGGGTGGCAGCTAAGGAAGAAACCCTTTAAATATTTTTTTTTCCAGAGAATATTAAATTAGATCTGTGTAAACATGAAATTTATATTTATTAATGTGTGTGTGTGCGTGTGTGTCTAAATATAGATATATAAATGGTCCATGACTATTTCTTTCTCTTCAATGGTACTTTACACAGTATGTTGGTAAATTCCTGCACCAGGCACTGATTCTAAAAGAAGGATGTACCTGTTTTTGTAACGACCATGGGCAGCTGGTAGAAGCAGCTTTACTTCAGTGATGGCTTTCATTCCTCTGGCAGAGCAGAAGAGATGGTCTTGGTACTTGCATCTTCCTCGTGTTCCTGCTTCTGCCTTTGTCTCGCTCTCAGCAACCCCCTCAATGCGGCTTTTCTGGCAAGAAAATCCCCCAAGTGGCACTAATGAAAGCTGGAATCCTTTCTGGCCTCAAATTATCTCTAGATGTGGTACCAGGGAGTACTTTACAGGTTGTTCTCTAAGTAATGGGGCCTCGGTCTAACAGAGGAAAGGAATGGAGGGTCTGTGAGGATGCTGGAGCATTGAGGAATTCCTGTCTGTCTGTCTGTCTGTCCATCAGGTGGCTGAGCTGACACCAGGGCACCACGAGATAGTTTCTTTTCTTCTGTGGTGAGATTATTCTCCTTTTAGGATGCTTCTGTCTCTTCATGGAGCACGAGGTGTGTGTATATCCCCTTAAAAGCAAATCCCTACGTGTTTTTCTGATGTTCCCATTCACAGGGAGTAAATTTTACCAAACTGGCCACATTGCAGTCATGGTTTAACTCCACAAGGATCACTAAATTCACAGAAGCATGTTTTTTTACCTACTTGGGCCTTTTGAGAATTAATCTTTAAAGCAGGTGATACTTGGCTTCCTAATCCTGACTGCTCTTCCAGAATAGAAACCCCTTTCTCCATAAGGACCTGAGTGAACGCTTCACCGCGGTTTCTGCTTACTGGTGGTCGGGCTCTTCAGGGAGGACAAGATGGGTGGTAAGAAGAGGCACCAGAGCAGGAGCAGTGAAAGGAAACAGGCATTAGGAGTGAACCTCCAAAGGAACACGACTTGCTTCATCATTTTGCCCTGGCTGCTCCCTGAGCTCTTCAGTTTGCAAATGCCATCCTGCAGTGAATGATCCCTCTTTCCTTGCCAGCCAGTCTCTTGGGCAGCTCCTGTTTCTGCTCCCCATCATGGTTTTGCCCTCTGTAGCTGTTTCTGTCAACTCCAGAGGCCTTTAATGCAGCTCCTAATTTAATGCCGTTGCTCGAAGGTCTGCATCTGGTGAGAATCTGGCTGGTAGCTTGCAGTTACACAACAGATTGCTCAGTCACGTAACTTTTTGTTTCTTTCTGAGTGAAAAAATTACACCAAAGCTGCTAGTACTTTAGCATACACTACTCTTGTAAAGTGTAGCTTACCATGGAGCCAGCTGTGCTGGGGAAACCAGTTACACTACAAGGTCAACTGGATTGCAGGAACTGGTGGGATTGGGAAGCAGTGCCTCCTTGCATTTTGCTCTTGACCCGAGCAAAAGGTGGCTGTGACTTCATGCTGGAGCTCGATTAGTTAGATCAGCATCTCCCTGTCTGCTGGGTGGGTTATTTGCAGGACGGTGCACGTGTGTGTGCCCAGTGTACTCCTAAAATAACCAGTGGGAAACATCTCTCCATGATGTTGGGCTTTGTCTCTCACAGGGCAGTCACACCACAGCAAGCATTTTACTTTGGGCTGAGCAAGACATTTGGAAAAATAACTTGGTTTTCTTGGAGCGCTATGGTTAAATTCCAAATTTTTAATCAGCTTTTAATCCTTCATATTTATAATGTTCAGAAAAAGTCTTTTGATACCTTTTCAAATTTACCAACACTGAATTAAACCCCTTCAGAATGTAGGGCTGGTCCTCTCCTTACGTGTCACTTTAGGTTTCAGAGCCTGAGGGTAGTTGTGCCAAGTCTGCCCCTTTGCTCTCCAGGCAGAAGAAACCGTTGACGATTCATGGGTGGCAGCTAAGGAAGAAACCCTTTAAATATTTTTTTTTCCAGAGAATATGAAATTAGATCTGTGTAAACATGAAATTTATATTTATTAATGTGTGTGTGTGCGTGTGTGTCTAAATATAGATATATAAATGGTCCATGACTATTTCTTTCTCTTCAATGGTACTTTACACAGTATGTTGGTAAATTCCTGCACCAGGCACTGATTCTAAAAGAAGGATGTACCTGTTTTTGTAACGACCATGGGCAGCTGGTAGAAGCAGCTTTACTTCAGTGATGGCTTTCATTCCTCTGGCAGAGCAGAAGAGATGGTCTTGGTACTTGCATCTTCCTCGTGTTCCTGCTTCTGCCTTTGTCTCGCTCTCAGCAACCCCCTCAATGCGGCTTTTCTGGCAAGAAAATCCCCCAAGTGGCACTAATGAAAGCTGGAATCCTTTCTGGCCTCAAATTATCTCTAGATGTGGTACCAGGGAGTACTTTACAGGTTGTTCTCTAAGTAATGGGGCCTCGGTCTAACAGAGGAAAGGAATGGAGGGTCTGTGAGGATGCTGGAGCATTGAGGAATTCCTGTCTGTCTGTCTGTCTGTCCATCAGGTGGCTGAGCTGACACCAGGGCACCACGAGATAGTTTCTTTTCTTCTGTGGTGAGATTATTCTCCTTTTAGGATGCTTCTGTCTCTTCATGGAGCACGAGGTGTGTGTATATCCCCTTAAAAGCAAATCCCTACGTGTTTTTCTGATGTTCCCATTCACAGGGAGTAAATTTTACCAAACTGGCCACATTGCAGTCATGGTTTAACTCCACAAGGATCACTAAATTCACAGAAGCATGTTTTTTTACCTACTTGGGCCTTTTGAGAATTAATCTTTAAAGCAGGTGATACTTGGCTTCCTAATCCTAACTGCTCTTCCAGAATAGAAACCCCTTTCTCCGTAAGGACCTGAGTGAACTCTTCACCACGGTTTCTGCTTACTCTCCGGTGGTCGGGCTCTGACACTTAAGGGAGGACAAGATGGGTGGTAAGAAGAGGCACCAGAGCAGGAGCAGTGAAAGGAAACAGCTTTCCTCCTCAGCAGAAAAGAGCCCTTGCAAAAAACAGATTTTCCCTGGATTTTGGTTACTACCTTGTGTCTGCCTCTGAGTTAAGCAACGCACCCGATGCCCCAGACCCCTGGCGCTCTTTGCCGTCATTTAGACCTTCCAATCCTGCTTCTACCCCACCCCACTTTCACTTCAAACAGTCCAAATTGGAGCCTTACTTAAAGCAAAGGGCAACGTTGAGGAGAAATGTCTGTTAGCAGAAGAAAAATGAGATTGAAATGGAGCAGAAAAAGTGAAATTTCCTCCTCTTTCACTGCCTTGCTGCTAAAAGTCTGGTGTGGAACATCCTGATGTTCTGCTGATTTACAAGCCACTCTTTGGGGGTGGACAGGCTGCTAAGGAGGCAAGTGGGCTCTCTAGCAAATGAATTGCTGTAAACCTAAACTCCCTTTATCCTTTTTTTTTTTTTTTTTTCTCCCCAAAACGGGCTTGAAGCGGAGGGAGGGAACCAGAGTATTGCTGTCTGTAAGATCTTTTTCGTTTTCAGAGAATGTAAAAAAAAAACAACAAACTGATTGAAATATACCGATACAGAGATCAGAACAGCTTTAAAAATACAAAAATCTTATGAGACTGTGTATTTTCTTGGGTTCTGGACTTGTCATTTGCACCGTGGTGAGACTGGTCCAGCCTCTCAGCCAACCTCTGCGGAGCCTAAAAGAGCGTTAGGGATCCTGTAGCTATCCAAAGGACTGTTACCCACAGGACTGTTAAAAGCTGTTTTAGGGATACATCAAAAGGTGTATGTGAGTGATGGATGGTAAAGCTGGAAATTCAGATCCAACTCTATTTGCTTTTTTTTTTTTTTTTAAAAAAAAAGGTAGAAAAATCTGGATCTCCCCCTGTTCTATGTATATGCATCCCCACGGAGTCCTTGGGGAAAGGCTGCAGAGAGACGAGGACCTGAAATACCTCAATGGCTTGACAGAAGTGTTTGGCTGCAGAGATCTTGGGGGGGCCTTACCCCTTTCACCTGGATTTGGCACTTAATTTAAAGATGGGGATGGAGGGGCGGGGGGGGGGACTAAAGCCATGCTCGCATTTCAGTTCCTGGTGTCGCCTGTACAAGACACCTCCAGCCAGATGTTTTGGGTTTTGTGGTTGGGTTGGTTTTTTTTTTTATTTACAGCCGATATCAAAAGTTGTTTTGGGGTTTTTTTGTGACTCGTTTTCGTTATCAGTGCTTTTTACAAAGCAGGCGTGTATCCCAGTGGGGGAAAGCTCCATCTGGGACAAGGGATGGGAAGTTCCTCACCTTTTATCTGGCCGAGTTGCAGCCCTGCTCCTGAGAGATGCTGCAGCCCCGGGGGGGCTCCTGCCAGGCGGGGGAAGAGTGGGGGGGGGGGGGGGGGGACTAAAGCCATGCTCGCATTTCAGTTCCTGGTGTCGCCTGTACAAGACACCTCCAGCCAGATGTTTTGGGTTTTGTGGTTGGGTTGGTTTTTTTTTTTATTTACAGCCGATATCAAAAGTTGTTTTGGGGTTTTTTTGTGACTCGTTTTCGTTATCAGTGCTTTTTACAAAGCAGGCGTGTATCCCAGTGGGGGAAAGCTCCATCTGGGACAAGGGATGGGAAGTTCCTCACCTTTTATCTGGCCGAGTTGCAGCCCTGCTCCTGAGAGATGCTGCAGCCCCGGGGGGGCTCCTGCCAGGCGGGGGAAGAGTC